CTAAATCTACGCGAATACTTAAACACATGAGAAAAGGAGAAAAAAGCAAAATCGAGGACTGGTGAAATAGATTTATTTGACTATCAAATAAATCAAAATGATTCATGTATAGTCCACTTTCCTTATAATTTATTTACAGTCAGATTAACAGACATATTTATTTGATCTTAAGTGGGTCGTATTTAGCAGTTATAATTCAATAAATTAATGTCTATACACATGTTTACCACACTATACAATTAAGCATCTATTTGCCTTATTAAGATACAAACACCTGTCACGTACAACTATAAAAAATCAATTTCATGTCATTTTACTCCAGTAGATTATGCTTGCCAAAACAATGAAATTTCATAACTTGTCTATTAACCGTCTCTGAGAAAATTGAGACAAGTACATTAAGTATACTTCAAGAGGTAGAGCACAATTCTTTAGTAATCTGCACTATATTTGGGACTGTCGACTTTTTACTTTTAGAGTGTAAGAAAACCCATAATTTAGATAATTATGGTGATATGTGCTCATGGTATTCACATACAAAGTAGGAACTCCCTTTTCCAGTGGTATATCCTGGTAACAATGCTGTTCAGCTACCGACTGCAGGACAACATACTTACTTATTCCCGTTACCCATCGTGAAGGAGCATAGGCCACCCGCCAGCATTTTCCATCCTTTCCGGTTGTTTCCAGCTGCTGTTCATCCTTTTAATGTCTGCTTCCAATTCCCAATAGTGTGTTCTTTGGCCTTCCCCTTTTTCGCTTCCCTTCAGGATTCCAAGCTAGCGCTTGCCTCGTGATGCAGTTTGATGATTTCTCTAATGAATGTCCTATTTAGTTTCAGCGTCATATTAGTGCGGGTAATTTCTTCTACCAATTAAATGTCAACCATAGTTATACAGATACTCAGACAACCATCTGGAAAGCTAAGTTATGTGAACATATTTCAAGATAATGCATAATCAAATGCACTTTGTGCATTAACAATGTCCCAACAAAATATTCAGTAATCCCTATTTACCTCTTTTCACATTCTCAGCAATACAGGAAGGTAAAGAGGCTGTTAACGGGTTTAAATGCCTACGTGAGGTTTATACGATTCCAGGTGTGACAAGCTTACAGTGCATACTAAAGCTACCTGGAGAGGTCAATCACATTATTGCTTTACAGAACTAAGAATATTTGGATAACTTATCGCCGTTATGCGTAATACTCATCTGCTAACCACTTAAATTGATACTGTCAAGAATAATACGGTTTATTAACGCCGTCATTAGACAGGGGAATACATAACCTTATCTATAAGGACAATTAAAAGTCTTAAGGAAAGCAGTTTATTTGCTCTTATACTCGAAATAGAGGTCATATTACTATTTAGTGGATATCGGTTTACAATATTCCGATTAACGTCTGCCAGGCAAGGGGAATAGGTATAGTTACACTAATATCTTGAACTTTTCAGAGGAGAAGGCGTATAACGTGATTTAACAGAATTTATTTACATAGAATAGGAACTAACTTACTGTGTAGTGTGTTTAGAAGTAAACGTTGTCATTAGAGAACCTTTGGCGTTTAATAAATATATACTAAATGCACACAACTGCATGCTTATTCAAATACTACTATTTGTGTCCATCAAGTGATATTATACTTCATTTATTACTGCCGTACATGCTAGTCAATTCAAGTACTTGCATACACATTGAGAAACATTGAAATTAGTTTTTACTTAATCCGTTTATTTTCTGTTATCTAATATAAAGATAACGACAATAACAGAACCTCGTCTCAAAAATGTTGTACTCTTTTACGCGGCTATTAACACGTGGTTTTACAAGCGTTTTTACGGAGCTAAGTGAACGATTCTTAGAACACATTGTGATATGAACACACAATCACAGTTTACTCACGTTATCGATGTAGTACTCAAAAAACTAAAAACTAAAAATATACATATGCGATTTTCAGGAATAATTTATGTTCTCACATTCTTTCTATTAGGGATAAACTTGTTGGTACGTTTATCACGTAAGATTCGGAATTTCGTCAAGGGCGTTCTACAAATGGAAAAAAGGTTAACCTTTCAATTACCATTATCAGAAGGGGTTTTTGTGGATATTATAATAATTAAATAGTTCATTTCACGAGTCAATTGAAGCGAAACCACCATATAATAACCGTAATATGAAACGTTTCCATGCTCATAGTAGACAAATAAATGCCTAATATAATAAGTAATTAAACCTAGAATTGAACGCTGTTAGATCCTACATTGTCATGTGAAATATGCTTGATATACATAAGATAACGTCAAAATGTTTGTTGAGTTCAAAGCTTGTGATTTGATTGGTAAATGGTAGTTAAGCCAGCTAAAAAACGTACAGTAAATAGTACTTTGAAGATAAGCCTTTAACGAAATGCAATAATAACATCCGATGAAGACTACCTTTTCTTTGCATCACCATCTACACTGATTTACCTTCTCTTGCGTCGTGAAGGAAAGCCTGGTTTGACAATCCACGAGTGAATATTTTTTGATCAAGTTCCCTCTTGAAGCCATCCACTGAAGGGCCTGAGATCACTTCAGTTGTGTTCATCAAGTTCTATTTGTTTTAATTTGAACTAGTCTATGAACATTTAGAGAGCATATCAATTCGAATACTGATAATTATCATGTTGGCTTCCTAATGGAACATGTGAATGAACAACTGGATGTACATTGAAATCATGATACCTTCGAAGAATAAATGGAAAGGTTTGGAATCTGGAATAGGACGAGGAAAGATGTTGAACATGATGGAATTGTGACTCATTGACTTACTTTCATCGAAAATGATGTTTGCAGTTTACCGAAAGATTCGGCATTTCCAGATAAGTCTATTTCACTCGACCAATTGCAAGAATTAACGTGCCAAATGTGGAAAAGGCGCTCATATAAATGCTGAGATGCTCTTTCCTTGATGTTCGAAGTGTATGTATTAATTACGAGGTATTGCACAAAACTGACTTCCAAGACATTACATAACTTGATTGTCCTAATGCATTTCATAGTCAAGGTCACACGTCTTGGAGTTTAATTAACGGCAATTTCCGTTTTTATGGAAGCATGTGAAATGACTCACTGAAGAATTACAAAGCAGTGAGAAAGTTGAGCACAAGTTTGACGAGTGTTTATCGTATGGTAAATTTCATTCAAGCGATTCGTGTTCATTTCTTCGTGTCAGGTGCTTCACGTGTGCCTTTCTTGATATATGTAGGCGATATTGCACATCAGGTATCATCAGATTTATTACTTTTCGCTGATGTAAAACTCAGGAGAATCCAACTCGACTTAAAATCTAGGCAGATGACAACGGACTTACCTTTAACAACACAAAATGTCTGCGACATGTTGCAAACTACAACTACAACTGAGGCAACTCCCTTGTAGAAGTATCCCAAGGTGAGAAAGATCTGGGAGTGTTGATACCATATGATTTGAAATCTTACGCTAATTGCGACAAAAATCCCTTCCGAGCAAACCTTCCACTGGTAAGATTGAAGCGCATTTTCAGCCAATTCGATGGATGAACTTTCCACTTAATCTTAATTGGATTTATTTCTCCCGGTTTAGAGTACGGAAATATAGTATTTCCTCCATCGTTGCGAAAGGATAAGAACCCCAATCAACCAATAAAGGAGAAATAAAGACGAACAAAGGGGAAAATGCGTTGGAAATAAAAGGGGAAATAATAGGGAAACGCGCCAATATGTCTACTCTTTCGCCTGTCCGGGGAAATAATGCGGTTTTCCCCCTTTATGTCACTCTGTTTCAAACGTCGCTGAATTGTCTACTTTTCGCCTAAATATACGCCAATTTCTCTGATTTTGCTTCCACCCTTAAAACACCTTTGGCATAAACCCAAACATCTCCTGTTATCACCTTTATTCCCGTAACACAGGGCATGAAAACTGCAATCCGCGTGAGAAATGGTATTTGTTTAAAGAAATTTATTGAAAAGAAAAAGCGTAATATTGTGCAACATTATGAGTAGTTGGCAGATGCTAGAGCATCAATCGTCATGTATTTTAATTATAATTGCCAAGTCTTATTGTAATTTGTAAAGATCTACAAAAGGAAGAACAAATGATGTATTATTAATTAGGCACATGTTCACGCTTAGCAGACCTCGACAGTAGCTGCTTCATATTAGCACTCAAGTTAGGAATAGCAGACGATATTTTATGCAGTACAGTATACAGTCTATCGAATCTCAAAAAACTTAACTCAATCGGACATATGACTTACTCGGCCGCAAACGCACAGCCTACACACCTAGACTCGAACGTTGATGACGACGTATCCTATTGTGTCGAACTAGTTAATTAACATCTCAAAAGTAAAAAAGCCTACTTAGCAATCGGCGAGACAACACTGTCAAGCAACCGAAGTTTGGGATATTAGACATGGCTATTTCCAACCTGTATCTCTGCCGCATCCATTTCAATGGAATCGTAAAGAAACCATTCTTTACGTTTCAATGCACCTCTACAGAATGCTTGTAAGCTGGCAGTGAAAAGTGCATTCGTAGCATCTTTATAATCAAACGGTATAAAACCAATCAAATCAGAAGTCAGGGATGGAGTTCGGAGTTATGGTGCCGATATGTTAAGAAGCGTTTGATCTTAGCTGGCTAGTAGTTTCAAGAGATGCCTAGCACAGAGTATCTACTCACAATCCGGTGCTAATGTGTGACTAAGCACCTTCAACTAGGGCGTGTCTAGTAAAACTAATAAGGTCAGCAACAATGTCGAAAACCTAAAGAACTATTTATTTCGATGTTTTACCGCTATACGCTAAATATGTTGTTCAAAAAGAAATTAAAAGCCATACAGTTAAACCAATGAGCTCAGAGAACCTAACCAAAAACCGCGGTAATAAGCAAAACTGCTGGTTTAATGTTTCTGAAAACAGTGGTATCCTATTACATCAAAAGTTAATATTGGTTTTAAGAACACATGATAAGAGCTAGCAAATATTGTCAAAAAAATAAAACATACATGTAATGAAAGACGGTTTTTTGAACACGGTGGTCACTAACTTTATAAAATAAAAGGACTGGTAAAGAGAAAACAACAAAGAAATTTCAAGCGTTCAGGAACCAAGTAAAACCGCTACCAAAAAACAATAATGAATAAAAAATGAAGTCAGACTGATTCATTTTTTAAATATTAAAGAAAATATGTACAAAAGATGAATAAGTAAAAAATGAAACCCACAAATGTTTAGTGCCATGATAGAGTAGAATAACAATGTGCGATTTGCTCTACTGTAGCAACACAATCGATAAAGATATCTGTTGTCAATCCATATTTTTCATATTGATGTATGTATGCTCTAGAAGCAAACAGTTCCCAGGCACGAAGGGATACATATTTTAAACTAGCTGATGTATCACCTAACGATGCTGCAGACATCCATAATTCTTTGCGATTAGTTTCAGCAGTAGAAACATTGTCTATACGTGAGCCACCCCCATTAGAAGCAACAAACAAACTACGAGGGTAATCTCCAAAATGACGCTGATGTCCACGAACAACTGAGCCAAAAGAAGAAGGAACAGGAGCTGGTGAAGGTCCAGAAATCAAAAGATCCCTAGTAAGTGAATGAACAAAAGTATTCGAATCTCGAACATGATCACTTGCTCCGTCACCTCGCAATACAGATAAATAGGAAAGTAATGGAAGCCGTGAATTTTCAATTCGGTTATTAGATCCACAATTTGAAGCACTGGCTGACCAATCAAGTTCTAAATGCCAGAAAAGATAAGTAAACAATGGTAGTTTTATTATCATTGAAATATTATCATAAGATCAAATTTTATAACCTGAAGGCTTTCAATAGAGAAAATATATTTTCAGCGGAAATTACGTACTAAACACAACATTTTCAGTACCTCGATATTTTGAGCGTATATATAAATGTGGCCACATTCATTGAAAGACCATAAACAGTAAGAATTAAAAAATAGACAAAAATTATGCATTAGGAAGAATTGTCTATTTAGTTACTTTATATCAGAGAAAACCTAGTCCGTATTGACAAAAGAATATTATGAATAATTGCAGAGATTTTAACTAAAGTCAAGTTATTTCATAAAAAAACAATCAAGAGGAAGACTTGACTGCAAACAGTACACAAACAATGTCTTGTTATTGGCTAAAATATCAAAGTAGAAACCCTACACCGCACTCTAGCTATCAGCATATAAAAATTTAAATAACTATTTTTCTAATACAGGATTACTCAACTAGTCCGCTTTGAAACAATGTGTAATCGATGCCATTGAGCACAATTAGGAATTATATAAATATTTCTTCTTAAAAATCATCATTGCAATAATAATGGAATTGAACTTCTGGGCAGTTAAATATGCAAACAAATATTTACGGGGTTGTTCGTCAATTTTATAAGATCAATAAAAAATCAGAATATTTTACGAAGTCAATAAAAAAACGGATACACCACCAGTAGTTAAAAGTTTCCAAAAGCTACCATGTTACAACGTAATTTTGAGCAGTACGCATCTACATATGAAGCAGTATATATGCTTGTTTATTCTAATTAGCGTTTTTTAGCAACGTTTTCAACAAAGTGTTGCTGAACCAGGTGAAAGATTCAGTAGACGCCGAACTTCGAGATCAATGGATTGATCCCGTAAGGATCGATCGAGCACAGACCAAACCGCGACACTACAAATCATCGTTGAACAATCAATTGAACGCAACATGTCACTATACATCAACTTCCTTAACTATGAGAAAGCATTTGACAGTGTGGATAGAAGGATCAAACTGCATCACGAGACAAGGGAAACGGAAAAGAGGAAGGCCAAAGAACACACTATGTCGGGATTTGGAAGCAGACATTAAAAGGATGAACAGCAGCTGGAAACAATTGGAAAGGATTGACCAGGACAGAGTTCGATAGAGAGTACTGGTGGACAGTCTATGCTCCTCCACGATAGGTAACAGGCGTAAAACTATGTAAGTAGGTATATATGCTTACTTATGAGGTGTTACAAAAAGTTAAAACTAAAGCATACATACAATGAAACTGTATAGAGAAAACGAAAGTCTTACTATCTTCTACAGCGGAACCCGTCAATAACATTTGTCTAGCATGACGGGCTAATTGAGCCCAAGTTTCTGTACAAAATTTACGATTTTCTACAGGCATATACGGTAAGCAACGTAAACGAGTTATTCGATAATCAGGATGTCCACATAGATCCAATAAATACGATGTTAAACGTTTTTTATCTTTAAAATATCCTGTTTCAGTATAATTTATAGTTGGCTGTTGAAGAAGAAAAATAGAAATCACGAGATTTACTGTTATTTTATATTTATAAATCTATAGATACTACACCAATGAACTAACACAATGTAAATATATTTGACGAAATTATGCAGATTTAATCATGACTCAACAAACCTGTGGACGATTTGAATGTATTCTACATAAATAAATAGATATGCTGACTAGATTTAGAACAGCATAGAATTAATAAACTTATTACTATCTTTCCATTCTAAATTCATAATTATCAAGTGAAAATACAGAAATGCTGAACTTCAGAATTTATTGTTTGAGGGATTAGGATGTGTAAGTATATTAATGTATATTTATCACACAGTTATGTAATACTGTAATCATATTATCTTAGAGTAAAGAACTATCTAACACTAACCTATCGTGGTCAGAATGGGAACACAATAAACCAAATTACTCGAGCAGTAAAAGAACTTTTTTGGACGATGATCATAATAATAACAAAAAACACATTATAACCAATAAAATGCAAAGGAAATAATGATAAACCTATCATTACAACTATTGTGCTCTGCCACACCAATGTGTAGACGATTATTTTGATTTAAACTATTTATTCGCATTCATTTTTCCATTCAGCATAGTGATGCACTGAGAAGGTAACTAGAATTGTATCTGTTTATACCGACAGAAAAATAAAGAGAAACAGCATGGGGCCCCATAGTTTAAACAATGTATATCAGTTCAAGTTATCGAGGTTTACACCAGCTTACAAAAAAAGAAACAACAAAAGATAAACACGAAGGTTAAGAAACCATAAAACCAACTGGAGAGAAAAATCCAGACAATCTAGAACTAAATGAAAGGTAAAGAACAATAGGATCTTGGAAATATGTAACAAGACAAGGAATTAGTGGGTTGGTGTCACTTAGACTGATCTTTAATCCTACCAGATAGTTTCGAAGTACTGTTTAAATGTATATCACAAATGTCAATCAGAAAATTCAAAATCACCTATATGGTTTGACTAATAGTTGGTAGTTGTATATAATCGTTCCACATTGATTTACAGTCAGATAACGGCATCGATTCTGCGTAATTTATCCATATTTAGTTTATTTTCAGTGGTCTTGTTTTACACCCGTAAGGTATGATAGCTGAATGCACATCATGTTTATTGTTCGATAAACAAACAAACATATTTTCTGCACTATGAGATATAAATTGAAAAACATTAAATGATACTTTTGAATCACTTGTGAGATTTTCAGGACCATGTAACAAAAAAAGACTGATTTAACTCTTACAATAGATAAAACAATAAAACGATCAACTACTTCCAACACTATTCATAAAATACACACTGACGAAAATGGGCTGCGGAGCAATACTTGGTATTACGGAGGTCAGAAAGAGAACTCATGTGTGACTTATTGTAGTCAAAAAGCAAAAATGTAGTCGCTTATCTAGTGCAGATAATACTCTTAAAACGTTATGAATGAAATCTACTAAAAAACTAACGATTCCTTCGAATCAGAATAAAGAGTATATATATAAAATACAAACCTGTAAAATCCCAGCTAACTGATGAGTAAGAAGGGCATTTAAATGATCTATACCGATTTGACAATTCGGATCACTAGCCAAAAGACGATTTGAACAAATTGCATGTAACGTATCATTATGATGCATTATGAAACCATCGAGACTATTGGCTGTAGATGGAGACAACAAATGTCCAAGTGTAAGTATAGCATTATAAGCTTGAACAGACACTTCACCACGTGTAAATGGCCATATCAATTGTGAGAGCACACACGCTTTAGGTATAATGTCAGATAAATGTCTAAAATATAAATGAGATGTTTATATTTGATCAATCAAGTCATGAATAAAAAAGAACAGCACACAGTTTTTGATATACAAGTAGTTGTTATACTTTAATAAAGGATATTAAATTAGTGTTTTAAAGACAAATAAAAGTTTGTCCCTTGATTACATGGAGAACAAAAGTTTTTAAAATTGAATTACCTGTAAACAATAAATTAACACTTAAGTTTACTATAATGAGATATGCGAATAAATTTATCTTCCTTATATTACATATTTAGCTGTAAGTAGCTGATAAGAAACCATGAAATTTATCTTCGTTCAAGGTGTTGGAATCCACATGAGCAGAGGAGTAAGGAAAATTAACGTGCACAATGTGTAAAAGAAAAAATCAAGTGATAATACCGGAAAAGATCAAATAAATGAAACGAATATTACAAATCAGTACTTTTACTTCAAATTGAGTCTTTCGGATAAGAAAAATTAACTGTAACATTTTAGATAGTATGCTTATTCTCCTTGACCGCTTCCAAAAGAGGGAAATAGGGTATCAAGTGTATTTTTTAACGAAAATTACTGCACTAAAGATACCTATTATACTTTGAAAACAAAGTATGATATCACCTATATTTCAAATAGCTTGCGCCTAAGCAATACCTTTCAGAATCATTCAGGGCAATAATGGAAAGAAATATGTCAGACAATTGTTCAGTCTGTTTACAGGCGTCCTAATAATACACTTAATTCCAACAGTGGGATAGCATAACTCTCCATGCGATGTCCTTTTGGAATCCTGAAGAATCACTTTCACACCCGTCATGTTTAAAACATTAAAAATTCCAATGTCAATTTAACAGACATACATATTTTGTGTATTGATAATGTCTCAACCAACAAGGGTTTTGCAACCACAAAATCTTCTTATAAATATTTCCCTTACGAAATGAAAACTACTCATGAAACTATTTAACACACTTAAAATCGTCGAAATTGTGAGGTACACAAGACAAAAATGGAAACTGAACAACAAATACGTAAACACAATTGAAGTATATCCTAATCATTAGTAAACAAGACAAAAAAAGTATATTCAATACGGACATTTGGCAAATGATTATCAATTTTTCACCCGATCGATAAACTTCTCCAACATGGAAATTCACTAGAGAATGCATGGTATATGTAAATCCAGCTAATGATCAGGGTGAATAGCTTTGTCTTCTAGAAACTTATCGTGTTATTAGCAAACATATATAATGGTTAACAGTCGAATCCAGGACGCGCGTTTCGTCTTATTTGGGGGTCTTCAGCTGGATGTGCCTGCATCTTGGAGTTGGTGTTCACTCTAAGACTCGAACCCAGTACCGTTCGCTTCAAATGCCATCATATTATCCACTTAGCTACTGAGTCCTGATAGCCACTATCCATCTTTGCTAATGATGCTTGTAACTTAAGGTAATATCGAGGCAATACGCACAGTATGCACATATCCCAATAAGAGACTGATAAATTGCAGTCCTAAACATCAATGAGATTTAAATAAACAATACCAAGTGAATTTAAACTTATCAAGTGGTTCGAATGAACTTTGGAGGGTTAAAACTCACTCATAATTAGAGACAGAAACAACGAAACATACATACATACCAACCATTCTAAACTAATCAATGGTTACAATTTCCTCGCAACTATTGATCCACTCCAAATGGCTAGTTTTCTTTTAAGAAATGTGTTCGAGTTAGTTGTACAGTTATAACTGGGATAATTAGTCAAGTGGTTTAGAGAATGCAATGTTGAGGTTCCATCAAATGGTTGCAGTGGTGCTAATCTCCTCGTTAATTGTTTTTATTTTATTCCTCGATGTTTCGTTGTCTATCTTAGTCAGTTTAGTAAGAAAAATCTCAGGACTTTTTGCAATAACAGATACAAATTATTACACACAGTTATAAGCTTAAATATTAATTGCAAATTTATTAACATAACGAAGAAGAGAGCTACAACAGTAGCAGTAGTATAAGCAAATCTGTATGACGATAACCGGTTATCCATATAACCGAACAGGAACCCAATACGATCAGTTATAAGCACATAAATTTATATTTCAACAATGACAAGAAAGGTGTTCTAGCACCCTTATAAATATATCAGTCGGCACTAAGCTAAAGAACCTAATCTCCAGCAATTTATAAAGTTAGCCATGCAGATAACAAAGAACACTACAAAAGAAAAGACTGACAACTGAAAATATTTTCAATCCAACAGATATAATTAAACAGTGAACATAACCACATTATTAAGGACTGTTTTAATCCATATCGTTTCTGTTAACAAATGATGTTAACTAACCAAAGGAAACCATTGTTGTTAGTAAACAGATACACAGCAAAGACTGTTTACAAGCTTTGAAAAGTTAAAATATCGGAAAAAGTCATCAGTCTATGTCTCTAAGTATATATTTATTCGGACCAATATATATCAGTATGCGACAAGATTAACATTTAAGCTTACGTGAGTATTTTTGTGCCCACACCAGAACCTGTCCCACCGGCTAAACTCATTGTTACCAAGATTCCATCTAGTGAATCACAATTTTCTAGTTGGTTCTGAATTAAACATTGTATCTGATCTTCAAATTCACTTCCATGAACGAAATAACCGTACGCCCAATTATTACCTAGAAATCACAACCGGAAGATTAATGGGATACATTCCATCCCAATTAAATTTCATTAACGTTCATCCATAGTAAGTTTTAAGATTAAAGATGGTGAGAGTTCGTGTGTGCTTTTCTGTTTGACAATGAAGGATACTACTCTAATGACAGCCTAATTATCTAGGCTTTTTGTTAAATAGGACCATGTTACCTCAACATCACAAATTTATCAGTGAGATTTTAAATAGGAAGATCAATCTCTGAAGTGTTAGTCAATGTTCATATGAAGAAACCTAACTGAAATAGGAAGAATGAGCAATCCTGACTTACATCGATTAACATAGATTATTCTGATTACAGTTCATCATAAGCTCTAATTCAACTAGTATTATTTTAGTGAAAGACATTTAGTAGGTTGGTACACTTTTTCTGTATGCTTTTGAATGAAGCAAACTATTATAGGACCTGCTGATCAACGAAGTTAAATCAACTCTTCAAATTAGAAAGTACAAAAAGAGTTGTGTCCCATACATTTACGACTGTACGTAATTTATTTATTTATTTGAACACATAAATATTGGTACAGGGGGGCACCAAATATATATGCGCCACACAAAACAATGAGAATTTAAGGAGAAGGGGAAAAAAAAGTAAGGAACGTAGGGAATCATAAAAAAAGAGAACAACAATGGGGGAGACGAAAAGGTACATTCAGAAGAAATCTTACAATTAAGGAAGATACAAACACTTTTTATGAAGAAAGTAAAAGAAGGTTACAGCAGGATCGCCACTGGCTTCTATTCTGAGCCATATCTGATAACGTTTCTAGCCACTGTGTTACACTGTCTCTCGGACCCCAGCCAGGGAGTCGTGAAGGACCAACACAAGCCATCCCTTTGCAGCCTTCTTTCATACCACGACATCATGTCATATACTGACCACCTCTTCGCTTTTTCCGACCAGTCGCAGAATCGGCAAATAATGCACGACGTGGAATTCTCTGGGACGACATTCGTAGAACATGTCCAAGCCACCGAAGTCGGTGTTTCAAGATGGTGACACCAATTGCATTATCGTCTCTGTGCCCGAACACACGATGCCGAACCTTTGCATTACTAACATGGTGTTGCCACTGGATGTCAGCAATCCTTCGGAGACAACGATGATCAAACACAGAGAGCCGTCTAACATCCTCAACTCGGAGAGGCCAGGTTTCACAAGCATAGAGCAAAACTGCTCTCACCGACGCGTTGTATATCCGACTTTTTACAGCCAGACTAACATCACGAAGGCGCCAAAGGTGGCCCAGATTGGCATAAGCCACTCTGGCTTTCACTATACGTGCATTGATCTCATCACTCACACCACCACCAGCACTTATGCAGCTACCTAGATACACGAACTTCTCGACTACTTCAATCTGCTCACGATCCAGAGTGAGTACAGGATTAGAATCCTGCCAGTCTTGTAGAATGACTTTGCACTTCGAAGGTGCGAAGCACATACCATACCTACGGGCATTGATTGCCAACTGATTAAGTGCGGATTGCATGGCATGGGCATTATCGCACAGTAAGACAACATCATCCGCCTACTCAAGGTCGAGAAGTCTTTCTCCAGGCAACTGATCCACACCACCATTACTTACATCCATCAGAGCTGTTTCCAGAATGTCATCGATGGCAAAGTTGAAGAGGAATGGTGAGATTGGGCAACCCTGTCTAACCCCACTGCTTGAGTGGAACAATGGAGAAAGGTGGTTGTATGCCCTTACTCTGCCTGAGGTGTTTGTATATAGGGCTTTTAGGATGTTAATAAACTTCTCAGGCACACTCTTCTTCAATAGACAATCCCAGAGAACAGTTCTGTCCAACGAATCGAAGGCAGCCCTGATATCAAGAAACACTACGATTGTTGGCCTTTGATAAGTATGACGGTGTTCTAACATCCTCGCAAATTGTTTTGCTCACATCAGACTTCTTGCTGCCAGTGGCTCGGATGAGTCGGAAGAGCTTCCGGTAATTACCGATGCAGCTGCTACTTCCAGCTCATTAGCACGCTCCGACCACCAGGCTTCTCGGTCCTTACGCAAGCTTTGCCCAATTTCATTACGTAACATCCTTCGTCTGTGGTCAAACTCACGGTCAACCAGAGTAGCCCGAAGGGCTTCAATGAGTTGTAAGGAACCAGAAGAAACCCAGTGCTTATAAGCGGGACGTTTCGCAAACCCACAACTGACTTTACTCGCCATTTTCATGGCGCCATGCAATTGCAACCAATGCTCATCTATACTTTTCGGTGGAATGGTAGCTAGCCTAGAAGCTAGCTCGGTTCGATACTTACTAGCAACAGAAGTTGCAGCCAGCTTGCTAACATCAATCCTTTGGTGGCGGTCACTTCGTTGTCCACTGAAAAGTAAGGTGAGATTGGCGCAAACCAGAGCATGATCAGAGTCCAGATAGGTACTCCAAAAGGAGCGGCAGTCCTGTACACAACCACGCCAGCGGTAGCTGATCGCGATGTGATCAATCTGTATCCAGGCTTGAGATGTAGAAGGGGGACGCCAGGTGGCACATCGGCGATGACTGTGCCGAAAGTTAGTGCTAGCCAGAAACAGGTTGTGGTCTGTACATAGTTGCAGTAGACGTTCCCCGTTATCTGTTCTGCGACCAACAAGTCCCCATCGGCCACCACATCGTTTCTCACGCCGATTTCTTCTCACTTTGATGGAACTTTCTAATCTAACAGCACATAACCGACTGTTAATGGGGATCCGATCGATTAGTGCTGCCTCAGCTCTAACGCTTAGTGCGACACTAACACCAGCAAGACCAGACGAAGATGCCACAGGGTCCCCGGATAAACGCACGTAAAACAAGCTTTTTGAAGCGACAGATGGAGAGCGAATTTGTAGTACTTCACCAGAGTCTCGGATAGACAACAAACGTCAATATTAAGACTTTCCAAAGACATAGCCAGCCCTATCTGTTGTCTGACGTGCATAAATGTGCAAACGTTGAAGGCAGCCAGTTTAAATGGTGCACGTGGTTTCAGAAAAACTGCTTCAGTACTCGTATTCGGTGGTAACATACAATTTTCAACTAGGCAGTGACACCAGAACGTTTAGATAGAGCCGAATGTCCACCATAGGCGAGCTGCTATATAAGTTAAAAAATAACGTTAGACAGAGTAGGAATAAGAGAGTGAATAAATAACGTGGTAAATAATAATAATAATGTGAATTGTTTGACGGTAAATCGCGGCGTGAATAGAGTTTTCAGAGAAAATCATCATTTTCATTATATTTGTGTGTGGGCTGTGATACTGTCCGAGTGGCCAAACCGAAGCAGGTGGTTTTATTAGGGGGCCACGCCCCGAGCCTTTGACCTAAAGGTCTAATCCACAAGGCAGTGAAGCATCGTGAGGAGATGCAGTTCCATGGTAGCCGGTGACCAACAATTGGTCCATACGCCACTTGTTCCTTCAGGATACTGGAGCCCATGTGCACCATTGATTTGGCATCCGTTTATAGCGCCGGACGTTCGCTTTCGTCATCTTATTTTCGTAAATAACACCCCTGCTACGTGAAGGCAGTGAGTAGGACTTCCCTGGCAGAGGCTATATACGGGTGGCCATGTGAGAGCACTTCGAGAGGGAGAGCGGACTCTCTTCACTCTCGGCCATACCAGGGCATTTGGGGACTGTACGTAAAACTTCCTTAGTTTCTTCACGTTTGTTTTCGACAACCTCTAGTTGGGAGTTGATTGATTACAGGAGCAGTAGGCAATTAACAACTTGGTGTATCCCAGTTAAAATGTTTTTAAAGGAGTACTGTTTACTTTTATAACTGAATAATCAGTTTATATCAATATTTCGTTTTCTTCAAATGCGTTTGTCAATAGACGACCTTTAAACCACATTTTTTGACAAATCTAAATAGATGCCTATTGTTTTCAGTATTGTCTTTCTCATCTTCATTGCCTTCGTCAGCTCCAAGCGGTCACTATCACATTATAAAATTCATGCCAACGTACATATAATAACCCTTACTTTATCATTTTGTTAAGAGCTCGTCAAAATAAATTTATAAACATACACTAATTTGGTACACATTTTCAAGCTCAGTGAACCTTTTAAACTTCTTGGATTCCTACAGATGCTATAGTTTTTAAGTAAATAAATTATATTTTCGAATGTGGTGATTTAAATAACTGAAAACGTGTTCTGGATATAAAAAACCATATATATTAACACACCATATTTGATGTAGCTAAATCAATTTGGGGAAGCTTTAAATAGAACATCAAAATATGAACTTTTTTATGATTAGTAAACTTGGATCTCAGCAATGCAAATGAATATAAGCTAGACGATTTGGACCGTCAACAAAGAATTCAGCAATTAAAAGCTGTAAACACTATAAATCAGATTCTGACCATGTAGAAAACTTTGACAATTCAGTTCCTTTCCCACTTTTTTCTTACCAGTTTTGTTTGTGATTATCAAAACGTTTATGTAACATCATTACGGAGTATGATGAGTAAAAAGGTTTCAATGGTTATGTTCACCACTGAGTGGCTATTAGTCCATGATTACTCAACCACCTAACTGTTTTTTGAAGCAACATTTCGACAAATATTCAACCATTGAGTTACCAAAATGCATAAGGAATTTGTGTAATTCAATATCACTGGAAATAAAAATATGCATTTTTATCATGTAGTTGCATCGTTTGGATTAAAAAGGGTCTTAACATTAACGTACCTGAGCCACATTTGGATGTAAAAAAGCTATTGGGAGAGTAACCCCACTTTTCTCGACAGGTACTTTTAGTGACACTGGCAATAACCTTTTCTTCCATATCTATCTGAACACACCTGGCTGTCAAACATCCTTCTGAAGCAAAGTCAAATTCTAAACGAAATTTTTACTTGAAGATTCGTAGAAAAATGTATTTAATGAATCCCTAATATATTCTGTGTCAGTTTTTGATAAAAGTGGCTTTTTCTTGACACAACAGTCATCATATACAGTATTGAAATATTTTGCTCCAATTTGATTACCACATTGGCCGATTTGAAGGGAAACTATAGACATTTGAACTGGAAGTCAAAGGTATAGATCACGGTAAAAAAGTATAGAAATGACAAAATACATCTGAGTATAAGTTAAAGTTATTTGTCAGTACGACAAGCTATTAGTTTTTAAGGAACAAAGAAATATTTTAGAGTGAAGTTAGGTCACTTTGCTTCATATATCCTAAATATTTAGCACATGCATTAATTTCTCAACCAAATGTTTTTTCCGCTCAAAATAGGCAAAACATACTCCTAGGTACTGCTTATAATCTTATAACTACAAATTTTAGTTACTATGGCAGATAAAACAGTCAAGTTATTGATAACAATACTTTAAGGTGGTATAAAAGGTTTGAAAATTAGTACGGAATTGAATAGCCAAATCGGTAGAAAACCAAACACTTTTAAGTGATAAAATCGATTGGAGTAACTACAATAATAGCTGTCAAATAAACATCGAACATTTACTAAATGAGCAATTTATTATGTTTATTAGGTAAAAAGATTTTCAACAGAGCAAAGAATGCTTGTAAAGCTTAATGATCAACAAAAAAGAATGCTGAGAAGGCGAGAAAAAAACAATAGAATACCACGGTAGAGTTGACTGAGCAGAAAACTTAGATAAATGAAAACGAGACGAAGAGTCGCCACGTTTTTTGTGTTAAGTGGTAATTCGCTTTTGTTCTATTTAATGTTTACTCAAAATGATATAACTGGGCTTATATGACCTGAACCTATGATGTATTTGCCTACAATAGTGCCAATCACTGAGAAAATTTGCAGATTCTTCGGGACTTACTTAAGGATTCAATTAGGAATCCACTACTTTCCGAATGTATGTATTACCATAAGTAAATAAATGGATGCAATTGAAGGTAACAAGCGGTCTTGTTTAAGTCAGACACTAAGTAGTCTTGGCTATGTCTACGGGATTATCATTCGTAACTTTTGATCAAGTAGACATTTAAATTTTCTGTCAGCTAGGCACAAATATCTGAGAAGCTCGTTAGCATTAAATTTATCATTACACGATAAGACCATCACCAACATAGGTGTTACTACCAAGATTTGACTTCGTAATTTCGAATACATTAAGTATTGGGTAGATTGCCATAAACAAAAAATAATGTTTATAATATCCCAACGAGCAGAGAAGTGGCTTACAGTGAGTCACGAAACGTCAAAGAATTTAATTTTTCTACTCGTTGGGATATTACTAATATATTACTTTTATTTATCACAAAAATGTCCTAGATCTATCTTGTTCCATTCTGATGCTATTTGGATTTTGATGTTCCCTAGTTGTACAGGCAAAATATTTGCAAATATTATGCATAAATGTGTGTACAGTTTCAAAGAAAATCAAGTCGCTCTAGGTTTGCAGACTGTCCCATACTAGCTTCAATGGGTCACATACTTATTCTAGAATAAGGCTATATATCCCGCTCAAGCAATGTCAACTCTTTCATTATAGGCACATCACAAAGTAATTTTAGCATTATTTATTGGTAAAGAGTTGTCCAAAATGTAGAAAAATTCGATGTTCTTCAAATATAAGATAATGGCAAATATAATAACCCATAAAGTTAACTAAACAACTGATAAAGCGGTTATACGCGGATGCTTTAAAACTTCCAGCTAAATATTTACAGATGAAGATTCAGAAAGCAGTCGATAACACTTGTACGTAACTCTTATTCTGTGATACTTTTACCCAGAAGACATTTGAGGCATCATGAATACGATAATATAAGGCTTATATCTAAGTTTCGCCAGATAAAGGAAAGTAAAATCGTTTTAATGAATATGATTTAAGAAGTCAGATCAAGGATATATCGCTGATTAGTCGCTTAAAAGACGTATACTCATAAACGAATCTGAACTTGTCCTATCGTTTGGGGGCACGGTAAAAACTCATAAGCAAACAAAAAACAACACATAGCTACTTCTGGACGTTTTTCAGTTGACCAAATCATCGATGAACAACAATCTAATCGAACAGACTCTGTTCAAACTTGTATCGTTGCACGACCTTGTACACAGGACAGAACCAAGCAATAAATATGAACAAACAGTTTAGTTCACACATGAAACCTTAGTAGTAATGTTAGGAGGTCAGTCGATCAATATTATCCATTAAAACTTGCAATAAAGTAAAGATTCGGTCTCGCTTTTTAGCATATTAACGGATGGTTCTGATAATTCACTTCCTGGGGGAAAATTCCAGTAGTTCACTGCTCGATGCAGGAAATTAAACTGCAGACGTGAACAGTTTGATCCCTGTTTTGGAAATTTATAAGGATTTCTTCTCAGGTGACCAGTTCTACATGGTAAATCAAAATCAGATGTAATAATGCCAAAGTAATCGCTCAGTATTTGGTTACATAGTGTTAAATCACCCTGTTACCCTCGTTAGGATAATACAAATAGGCTGAGATGTCTCAGTATATCTTCATCGGGTAGAAAAGTGAGATATCCCACCACTTTGGTCTTCCAACACTTAACTCATTCTAGCACATTTGTTTCATACTTGAAACGAGGACTAGCTGCTTGATCCATTATTCCAAACGCGGCCCCAGACGTTTCTTCATCCAAGTGACAAAGTAATTTTCAAATGGTCTACAAGAACCCAGAGCCCTAGAAGAAACATTCCAACAGTTGCTGGTAATTATAGGGTCTTTGCTTATTATGACTGCTGGATCATTTTAATCACTGCTTTAGGTAATACTATTTCATTTATTGTTTTGTTATACAGATTTTTGTAGTTATTTATTTGCATTACTATGCTTTTATTAGAACCAAATTGTATTGATCACATATACATCCGTTTGACCGGTGAATTTAAGTCAACCTACGACATTACCTTATCGGACATAAGGTGTTTGAGTCTCCAAAGATTGATTTCATCGCCAAAGAGTGGGACGGATGACTTTACTACAGTTCATAAATAAATTACACAGACTAAAAGAAAAGGATCAGTGATTGAACATTGACAAACTCAACTCTTACAGGTTCTCACGTTGACAAGGTCTCGTTCACCCATAATTATTATCTTCATTCTCTGGGAGTCACTTATCTAACTTCAAAAGTAATTATACAACTTTTCAGTTTTAATCGAAGGCCCAGGTGTGAGACTTTGCTAATGCTATACTTTGATATATTAAAATAACATCTACCGGGATATTAATGTCTTTCAACACTGCTCAATCTTCTCCTACAATAAGGTTCATCAGGCACGAAATATTTTTCCTAAAACCATGGACTTCCCTGACTAAAACATTGTTCAGTTACGCATAGCCACCTGAGCAAACTTCACTATCATTTTGACGACTACTGTAGTCAGACTAACTTGATGATGGTTACCAATTAAGTCTCTACAACCAGTATTATAAACTAGATTGATAACTACATGTTTTGATCTCTTGGCAGTTTAATATAACTCAGTGACATATTGGCCAGTATTACTGAATGTTCAACAATCAGGTCTGCCGAGGCTTTTATGATCCTAGAGTGGATATCTCTCAGAAGCACCAGAATTATCTGTTTGAGATGTTGAAGTATTTGCGAGACAACTCATATCCCAATAACCAGATAATCCTTCGACTATATACTATTATCATTAATTGCTGGTCTTCCGCGATCGTTGATAGAAAGCGTGATATCAATATATATATATATATATATACAAATATATTAGTTGTGCTAATGCACTTCTTGCCAATGTCAATTGATGCTTTTTCGTTGGGTCTGGCAAAGTCGCTCCACATCTCAGAGTTCGCCTCTTTATATACGACAGCAACCCTTTCAAGCAATCTTCGGGATCTCTAATCATCTGTGATTATCCGAAGGTCTAGCCGTACTTGTCATCGCTTTGCGTCTGTTTTTAGTGTTACCATGACTGAGTCCTTACTGTTCAGAACCTATATAGGCAAACATACTCCAATGATTTTTTTCCACCTCCAAAATGTTTCTGTACCATTTTGGTTGTTCGTGTTATGTTGTTATTACGTTTGAATGGTACCACGCTTGGCACCACGCAAACGTAACTAAGATTGAATTACCTATAAATGTAGATTATACTTCGCCAGTTGATGAGCTGGTGTCTGCTGACCGGTTCGCTCTGGCATTGCCACCACGTTTGCTCTCTACACATTTAAGTGAAACTGAAACTACGCCACGATCCCTAAATATGACTGATAAAATAGCAAGATCGCTATTGGCTAAATGTGCTTCAAAATGAAATCGCCAAGTAAGAAAACTAGGCTATGATATATGGTATGGAGTACAAATGTACAAACTTCAAAAGTAAGTTTGTAGTGACATTGGATCCTAGTCACAAGACCTTTTAAGCCAGGCATATAACTGCTGTAAAGACTAATGTTAAAGGATTGGCACGAAGAGGAAGTTAACTATGAAAAGCGGGAATATTAGTTCAATTCAGTTGGTTGACATGGCTCAGCCTTGCAGACGTAGTTATTCATGTGTAGCCCATCACTTTTATTTGTATCAAATATATTGTTCTATCTCCAACTTGAATGTGTTCTCCATCATATATTGGTGATTGTTGCGATACAATGAGTAGACAGTGATGTCACTTTTACGTAAGATCTTATTGATTAGCAGCTGCATCATGATAAATCTACAATTTTAGGATTAACATTATTATTAGAGCACTGCTAGTGACAAAGTAGACCATAATTCTGCAATTTCATACGTAGCGACCTCACAAGCTTCATCACCATAAGATTCAAAAAGTGACGGATGTTTGTATCATCAGCTACAATTATGAGAACCCCGCCCCCATCTGATCCTATTACGTTTGAAGCAGTTATCTCCTGATAAGTTTGGAGTGACTTCTAAGTCATAGGTTGATCATGTTTCGGTCACGGCTATGGTGAATGGCTTTAATTCGTCCACAAATACTCCTAGTTGATGGAAGTTTTTCCTAGACTATGTTTATTTGTGCCTAAAACTCCTTTACGGAATAAACTATCCATGAGGGTATAGAATTATGGTCTACTATGATATTATTACTGCTGTAATAATAGACCTATTCCTAAAATTGTGGATTTATCATGATATAACTGCCTAATCTATAAGATCTTACACGGAAGTCACATAATCGTTTATACCAACTCACTGCATCGTCACAATTACCAATACATGATAGAGAACAAGCTTAAGTTAGAAATAGTACAGTAAATTTAATGTAAAGAAAAGATATAAGGTCGTGAAATACATTTAATAATTGTAAAACATCTGTTTTTATACCTAACACGCTTGAAACGAAATTTTGGGTGAAGATTATTTAGGCTAAAAGTAGTGGGATTATAAGTTATTGAAATCAACTAAGCCTATGTGCCACATTTCTAGGTGATATGATGCTGCAAGATGTATTCGGCTAAATAAGTTTTTACAAGATAATTAACAGTGAGTGGTGCTCATGTGATTATCAGGGAGAATATGATAATTAGAAGTATTTGAATTATAGTATGAACTAATAATCCCAGGGATAACGCAATTGAATCAAGAAGTACTACACAAGCACTAACGAATGTACTGTATTTAGAATTCGAAATCAAACATTCAACAAGTACAAAGGAGTCATTAGTTCATTCAAACACCACATCCGCCACAGCTTAAATAAGAGTCTAAGTGTCTGTAATCAATTGTACGCCTTCTCCTCAAGTTCATGCTGTGTCTTTCCGACAATGTATTGGATAAAGTCTCTGTATTATATAGAATGCACTCATTATTATTAGAATAAACAACTGAAATCGGAACAGACTCACTTGATTTCTGGGATTGTGAACAATCACCATGCCGGTTGAATACTGAAACTACTACCTAGGATATGAACCATAGACTATCCTCCCCCACGAAATAATGTCGGATCTTCATGTCCCCAAGTTATGAATAATGTGGCTTCATTTAAAACATCTTTCTCAATTTGACTAGAGTAAATGTTGGAAGTGAATTTATGATAAGGACAAACAACAGTTGATATGGAATTATCTGAATTGTAATCAAACTCTAGCTCATTTAATACTCGTGCTTCGCATTGAACAAGTTTCTCACAAGAAACAAATGCATCATGAGGACAAACAATATTTGATATGACATCAAGATTTGATTTTTCTGAAATAGTTTCCTCGAATTTATTAAGAATGTCATTGAAGAGTAAAGGATCGTTAGAAAAATCAGCATCTATCAAAACTACATCAGTTTTTATATCATCATTAGGTTCATTCGAAATATTTTCACCAGATTTGTAAGACATTTCACCAGAAATATGTGGATCATTAGGAAAAATTATATCTGGTACAAAAACATGAGAAATCTGATAGGTTGATTCATTAGAAATTGTTGTCTCGCAAGAATCTTGAGTTTCATTTAACTCTGAACTGCTATATGAATCTAAACTGTCTTTTGAAATCGTCGATAAAGATAAATGATCATAATAAATATTCAGATTAACAGAATCAGAATTACAAGACTTAATATTAGTTGCAGCAACATGAACAGTAGTATTACAAACTGACTGAATATGTCCAACATCAACACATTTAAAGCACTTACAATTACGAAATTTACATGAATTAAAAGGGTGGAACCTTCCACAGCACAAACATTGACCAAACTTGTGCCCATCCTCGTCAACTGCATCGCAATTCCCAAATGAATTATCTGCATAATCTTGAGTATGCACTGGGATGGGGCGACGTAATGTGGTGGAATTTTTTATATCCTCATGAATTATTTTACGAAATCTCCCTTTACCGCATTCGAAATTTGTATACTTAGCATAGTCTAGAAGTAGTTCCTTGAGAGTTGTATAAGGAAGAGAAATGGGCTTTTCCGGTAAAGCCAAAATTTTTATTAAGCTATATGCTTCTTTTCCGATGAATGTGAGAAAATGTGCCAAAATATTAATATTATCATCATCTTCCTTAGTCATAGCCCAGATTTCGAACCTTTCAAAGTAATCCTCATAAGCATCAAAATCCGAATGAATATCTAACTGTTCCATCGCAGGCCCCATCGCGACGCCAATATGATAATAAGAAGTATTTGAATTATAGTATGAACTAATAATCCCAGGGATAACGCAATTGAATCAAGAAGTACTACACAAGCACTAACGAATGTACTGTATTTAGAATTCGAAATCAAACATTCAACAAGTACAAAGGAGTCATTAGTTCATTCAAACACCACAGAGAACATGAGTTGTAACCAAGGAGAGTACACTCCCAACTCATGTCTATGGTAATGGTATGAACCTTAGTCAGTGTTGAGGTAAATTTAACATCGATGTTTTCAGTTTGCAGGAGATTCGCTTAACTGCTTGTACTGATTATTCTCATGCATGATTGTGTCGCTAAACCTTCAATTAGACTGACAAGGTTTTGAGACATTTATTGAATGAGCAACCGATAGTGAAACATACTTCAATCGTCTGAAGTGGACGAAGATACCGAGAAAACAACACTATTTAATGATAATTACAAGTCAATTTGCTGACCGATTTGTCAATAGTTTCGTCAATTTTATCGATCATATTACGTGATTGTCAAGATATGACAATGCTTTATGACGATATCCTGAAACCATTATGTTTAACTAATTATAGTGTTGATTGACGATTAACCAGTGGAAAAATAGGTAGGTAGGTGGCAAAGGCAAATAAAAATAAATGTAATTAAAAGGCACACGTTTACTTAATAGAAGGCTGTAGTTAAAAGTATTAAATATTTCTACTAAGTCCTGAGAGTGACTCGTATGAAATATATACAGCCAATCCAACAGAAAAAAACCTGTGAAAGTTAAGACGTACTTTAATAATTAAAATGAACCAGCAAAGGTGAAAAGAGTAAAACTTGCCTGGGTTATTTTCGTTTCCAAGTAATGATGATTTGAATTGGACAGTAATTTGAATCTGGATTATACACGAGGTACTGTCCATTAAATTCTTGGATTAACGCAGCATTGGAAACTGGATTTGTATAAGTCCAAAATTAATTGAAGCCAAATATGTAGCATTGCCTGACGAACAGTCTAAACGAGGTCTAAAGCTCGCTAATCCCAAGCTCCTGATTTCGGGAAAATTCGACCCATTTTGGGGAAATTTTGTGGTTTTCGTGCCATTTTCCCAGAATTTCACCAAACTTCGGGGTTTTTTCTCAAAAAGTTGACTAAACGTTGGGGTTTTTCTAAACAACGTAACTTCTCATGCGTTCTTAATGGGAAAGCGATAGATGCAGTATCTATTAACTCCGTACGCCTGTCACTTACACCCATGGATAAGCGTTCATTTGAAGTGATCAATTTGTCAATCTTTCTAGAGAGTTCAGTGACCGCTTTCATAATCATCCTGAACATTTTATTGGTATAATTGCACGACCTTTTGTTATCAGGAATACAGTAAATGCAGCTTACGGTTTATCGATTTCCGTCGATGTACATGGTATTTGTGGTGATAAAACCTCTGTTTTTGATGAACTACTTTATGAGCATTGATTAAATAGGTACATACTTTGCTATAGGAGAAAATCTTCCGGTCAAAATGTTCGACAGAGGCAAATCCAGCTTCAACTTCAGCAACCTCTAATTCTTCAGAAGTACATAGATAGTCGCCAATTTTGCGTTTCGCAGCCATAACACTAAAGTGATTTAGTAAGTTGAACAATTTACCTTTTTGGCTTTTCTGCTTCACACGGCAGCGTTTCATCATTTGCCGGAATGTTAGTATTGTAGCCGAGTACTGTGGTTAAACATACTTTGATTTCCTCGGCTACATAGTGATCATCTGAAAACAATAAGTTTAAATTGACTACAACTTGCCACAACAATGCAGTATGGTGCATTTTATCAACGTGAATCAAAATGTTTAATAACGTCCTTCTTAGTAACCTCATCCCGATAAAAGTCAGTCGTTGTTCAGGAACCATTTTTTAGGAATGCAAATCACTTGCTTCTTCTTATCACTAACCAAGATGTACTTTCCTGATTGATGCTGCAAATCAATGCCGTGGCGTTAAAAATTGAAAATTTATTACATTCATGAAATTCATTAACACTTCCTGATGGACGAGGCCAAAGCACCAACCAACAGACACTTACTGCATGTACTACTATATTTGCGACAGCCATTGAGAAATGATGTCACGTTTCCCATTTGAATGTATGCAAAGGGGGGATATTAACCTCATAATTTTGTGTCCGCATATGAATGCACCTACAAAGTGTGTCTGTTAGTGTAATCCTCGTACACTCGTGGCTTAACGTAGAACACTTAAACATACCGATATTACTGGAAGGAAAAGAGTCCGTATATAAATGTAAAGGGTCATGGAATGCTCGAAACCTAATTCGACCTCCATCAGCAATTTGTGTGATGAACCCTGGTCGATCATTGGCGATAACTACATTGTCCGGCCTTGTGGTAGATAGCTTCTGTAATAGGTTGATCTGGGACAGCCTATGGTCATACTAGGACGAAACGGTCGCCAGTGCTTCCAGGTTTTCCATGATGGCTTAGCTTCAACTGACTCATGATCTCAACCATTGAAATTACAGTACTATTTATTTCGAGGATATATTTGCTTTTACAGTAATATTGAATGACCCGGACATAAAGATTTGACCAGGTACCTATGAAGCACTCGATATGGTATTTTTCTTCATTAATATACCAAACTAAGGTCGATATGACCTTAAAGGTCGGAAGTGTTTGTAAATATTAAAACACCTGTTTTTGATAGTTTGCAAGGTCAGTCGCACTTCAAACTGTAGAAAAGTCTCTCATCAACGGATATATGCTTATTGTTATTTCGGCCAAATTAAGTATAAAACTCTTTTCCACATCATATGCCTAGTAATGACTATATGATCTTAGATTTTTAGACCAATTCCACTACGTTGATATACTACTTCGTTCTCATCATGCAGAAACGCATTTTATTCGAAGCTAACTCAATGAATCCATTTTTCAGATGTCATATATCCGGCGCTTCGAACATATCCTTGGTTCGCTTACGAGTTTGCTTTATGTTTTAGGTCAAATCAAATCTTCTTCGCACTCAAGTTGTGAAATTATCTACATCTCAACAGTCGACACATTTGGAATTCATGTACGAAAAAATGTGTTGTACGTAGTGTCAATACGTTTTAATAGTATTTAGCGAGAATCTTGTACCGGTTTTTAATATTTCGCATATTTATATCCAATGAGCAAGAATTTAAGTTCGATCTAAAGTAAACACTGTGTAGCACGTTCACGTTGAAGCAGGTTTTCTACAAACGACAAAAGACCACTTATCTTCACTTTTTCTACAAAGATTCAGTCTATAACCATCAAGAATTTTACTGTGATGGTTCCCTTGTCTACGGTTTTAAGATCAGCGGTTTGTTGCCATGATATATTCTAACTTTTCACTGTTCAGTGGTTAAATCTTACGATTGATTTGTTTTCTTTTATATACGACTTAAATGTTCAAGATGGCCTTAAGAAGCTGCAAACCATCACGGTCTACCCATTTTGTTATTTATCCGAGCTTTCAGTCACTTCATCCTCCATCAGTGATGTTTCCATTCTCGATAGTAAGTCTTTGTGTCGATAGATTGAACAACTTTTTTCATTCTGTATTATAGAGTGGTGTATGGACGTTTCTGACTTTGTCAACGCCTATTAATCAGTTTCAACTTAGTATATGCTTGTATTAACTTAGCCTCGGGATATTTTTGAGTTTTAAGCTATCTGTATACGATAGAATATTAGATGGATTAAGTATGAATAATTGATTCTCCATGAAGTTTCCAAAAGATGCTATATAACCCAAATAAAATTTATACGTGAGTTCTCGAAGAACATGAAATGTCAGCCTCCATAGAATAGAACAAAACTAAAACAAAGTGGTCACTTCATATAGAATGGTGTCTTATATCTTGGATTTTAGAAATTCCGTACTTCACTTTAACTCAAAATTACACATAAAAATGCGAGTTTTAGCCATTAAACAGGGGTTTTAGGCCCTATCTAATCTACTTTTTTGGAACAATTCCGTAGTTTTGCAAACTTTGACATTTCAAGTGTAGCTCCGAGATAATGTACTGATGATCTGAGATCTACTAAAATAAAGCTTTACGGTTAAACCACCACAACAATGTACGAAAGAAAATAGCTATAATTCTTATTCATTTTAAACATGCTTGTTGTGGAATTGTTACCAAACAATGTTGTATTGAACTGTAAACGAAATATCAGGATAATTTTAATAAGTTTCAACAGTAATGACTTTAGTACTTCGTCTTCACTTTCGGCCACTCATTGTTAGATTTAATGCTCTTATTTCTAATGAAAATATATTGATGCTTATTTTTACTCATCTGTTCATGAAACTTTTGTGGTCTAAGTAAATAATGGAATAAAAAGTCCTGATGTTGCTAACGTTTTATTGGAAGACGTTTAATGTGTGATATTACTGTTTAAGTTTTTCGTCTCGATACCCGAGCTCCTTTACCTTATATTGAAGTTTCACCAACGATTGTGCATTGCTCTCGATAAACTTAATGTAAATATACTTCTATTTTTAAAGGTATATATGGACGGTTATTTGTTTTTCGTGAATAAATTATTTGAGTTTTTAAAGCCAAGATGCAATTCAAAAATTTAAATAATTACTGCACTCAACTGAAGGACTTATCATAGTACACTTGTTTAGTTTTCACAAGATTGTTCACTAGATACTCTTTTCATCCGTTTGATGTAATCTTATTTGAAAGATGTAAACTACATAGTTTGTTCTATTTCTCTCTTTAGATCCTCAAACTTCAGAAAACAACATGCCAGAAATTTATCAGGTATACTTGTGGGATACTTTAAACACCCCGTTAATATTACTTTATCTATATATAAGTTACACATGATATCAGTTGCTTATTTTGTATGATTTTCAATAAGCACGGACATTATATGCGAAGTCATTGGAAGATTGGCGCCTAAACAGCCAAAGACTTTGTGCTTAATTCTGTCTGAGATTGGAAGGTGCGCGCTGTTAGCTAGGTCCAGCAATAAACTAGTATCCATCTCTTTTCAACTGTATTGAAAATAAAAACTATATTTGACTTATGACGGTTTGTGCAAACGGTTTGTGCAAACGGTTTTTGTCATTATTTTTTAGATGAAATGTGATTCGAAGTTGAATACACAAAACTGTAATTGGTTCTGAAGTTACAACCAGCCACTCTTGATCTAGGACAAAAAGCTTTCTCAGTGCTCTATGGACTTTTGACTGTTTAATTTAACCCATGACAAAAATTGTTGTAAAATTAATCAGACATTAACTAATCATTTCGTTAAACACGTATTCGATTTTTCTAGTATATGGAAGATTCTGATCCTGGTTGAAAAGTTTTATTATTAGACTTATTGTTAATGTTTACTTAAACGATTTGGGAACTTTTTTGAGTGGACTTTGATAAGTACTCTCTTATTTGTTTTTATAGAATGAACAAAAAATAAGGACATGCTTATTAGTATAGCTTCTTTCATAAATTATACATGGAACCAATCGGTCCTACTTGCATTTTACTTCTTGTGACAGGAGAAAAATCGCGTTACAGAACAAATGTGTTTCATTCTACTATTTGTTTATTTATTTATTTGAACACATAAATATTGGTACAGGGGGGCACCAAATATATATGCGCCACATTCTACAAAAAGCCTTCAATACCTTCATCTAAATAGAGTGGTGTAGGACATTTGATTTAAGGTATATAACCTTAGCATGTTGTAAGTACTTCTGTGCCTATTCTTGTGAGACATTAAACCGCAGTTTTTAATGAAATAATTATTCACTAGAGAAAGTCACCTTACTGGTTTCAAGAGAGACCTATAGTAAAAAGCCCTGACAATTATCAACGAACTCACTTAGTACGGCTTTTACATTGAATATAAATATGCATCTGTAATGTGATCTTCATTTTAGCTTTATCACTGGATAAAGTAGTATTATATTCTTAACATATCCGATTTTCTACTTAAATACCGTTTCTTTTATTCAATAAATCAAGCAAAACATGTGCGTTTATTGTTGTTGTCGTCGAAATAATACTTGTCTTTCTGATTATGATAAGGTTTTAAACGTTCCGAAAATTCGTTTGGATGAATGGAGAAGAGCCGAACGGATAAATTTACGAGGGAGTGAAAACTCAAAGAATCTTTTCAAGGTTAGACGTTCTCAACATAGATCTTATAAATTATTAAATGGTATTATTTGAAGAAGAGCAAGGATTCGTTCTATCATGTTAATTTTTTGTCAACTGTTCTGTAAAACTCATCAGTTTAAACACCGATTTACTGCAGCATCTAAAATGCTCACTATCACTCAATGCATCGAACTCTTATAGTTTGACAAATTTTTGAAATAATGTTCTGCCTATTTACTTTTTGCTAAGCGAATAAGTGATACGTGATTCGAACCTTAAACCGAATGGTTACTAACCACTAAATGACATATTCACTTAATCAAACTTAATGATTATAGTATCGATTCAAACTGCCTTGTTTTATCCCAACTATCAAGAGGAGTGTCGTTTTGACCTTGCTCCCATACCATCAAAATAAACTTTTTAATCCCGGTAGAATTACCTACTTAAATAAGTTTAAGTCATAACTGTGAGATAGTTTATCCTCAAATCTTTGTAAGGAGCACTTAAACATACCGCTCTTTTTCTGTGTAGGATGTTTTAGTAATAACACTGTCAATGAGATCCCTTTTAAATAAAAATGGAGTTTTTGACAACTTTGTAAAACTATCTTGCCAATTTTAAAAATATCGTTACTCACATTAACTGTAATATTTACCGTTAAATTAGAAAGAATAGATTTCAAAAGCTTGATTACGAATAGAAATTTGTGGGAATATATGGTTTTTACAATAACTTTATTCACTATAATTTTATAAGTTAAAATTATCTGCTAGTATGTAATATTGATTTACACCTCAAAACTGACAAATGACTCTTTTATGTATATTACAGGTATCACAATTAACTACAGGTGGTGACCAATCATGTACGAAATCAACTCAGTCCTCATCAGTAGAGGGTGAGAAATGTATTTTAGGAGGACAAAATTCCGAAAGGAAACGAATATCTCTTCAAATAAACAGGGTTTGCATTAATGAACAGAGTTATACAGGTTTTAGTAAAGTACCTACTGGTTCAGATGTTTCTAAAGAGTGAGTATTGCTTGACAGCACCTTTCCCGATTTCGGTATATCTTAACTTTTAGAAATTTACTGGTATGTCTACATCTAACCTCTGTTAAGAATTTAAGGTCCTTGTGTGGAATTAATTTATCCAAATTTTTGTTTACATCTTTATGGGATTCTGCAGCAATTGTAAATATCTTATTTTCAGTGTGCAAAAAAGGCTATTCAAATATCAACCCATGTATAGGTAGTTTAGTGACGTTATATTTTCAACAAGTTAGTTTGATCAGCTGTACGGTTACAACTTTCCTGTCACAGTTAATAATTTGAGAAAACCTAATAAGCTTGGAAGTGAATACCAAAGTACATGAATGTCATAATTTTTCTATAGGCATATAAACATGACCCAACATGTCGTGTCTCGGTCCACGTTTCTACACTTTTATTTGATAAAGAAATAAAATTGATTGAAAAGAACACTAGATAATTGAAGAAGGCTATAATTGGACTATATTTCATTCGTTCGATGATTTTGAATTAAGGTAGTTTTAGTAGAACCTCTTTGATCACCTTTCGATCGTTAACTCGAAGTTATTGTCGTCATCATGGGGTCAAATGGTCTAAGGCTAGTTTGCGTGTAGGGTGATTCATACTTATCGATAAACAGGCTCAAAGTACAGTATAGTGTAATATTTATTAGAAGACAAGGTCGAATTCATTTGTTCAGCTTCATTTTGTTGGTACCTGCTTATCTGCATTGCATTGTACTCTTCTTGTTTCTATCGGTATGACTTTATCATTCACACGTTTTGGAGCTGGAGCAAAATGAATTTCTAATTCCCTTGTTCTTTTATTCAAGGAGCTTTTATGATGCATATCGATGGAATACCTGAAGCAAACACTTAAAGTATATACACAATTCAAACTACTTTCATGTGTTATAAGTAGTATGATGTGTGTACATAAAGATAATTTACTGCCGCTTCTTAAAAACTATCATATTCAAAATATTCCTACTTTTGAGATGGTGGAGATTTAAAGCTAAGGTGTATGGTTTAAAGAAAGTTTCTTCTCCGAGCTGTATGGCTTGGTCGTGGTTTCATTGTCTTTCTGAACAACATCATCAATACAAACTTCAGATAGAAGTGAAGTGTTCAAATTTCTCCACATTTGATTCACAACTTGTCCTGTAGACCTCGATCTTTACTGGTTATTGTTGACCTGTCATTTTCTACCTCTTTATTTTGATTGTATCTCCCTTTGATCTGATTCTTGGTCGTACAATTGTCCATGAATTTTCTGATTGGTTGATTGCGAAGGACACTACATCGGACAGAGAGGATCCCGCTTCATCTACGCCTGAATGAATATCAATCAGCAGTCAAAATCCACGACATATCTTTGCGTATATCAATGCATGTGGACGACTGCAGACACACAGTCGACTGAGAAAATGTTGAGTTTTTGGATAAAGGGAATACTAAAAGCATCAAAGAATTTTTAGAAGCTTGGCACTCAGATTAATTAGCAGTCAACAAATACATTGAAATCGATTCCATCTACCAATCAATTAGAAAAATCACGGACAGATATAAGACCAAGAATCAGATCAAAGGGAGATACAATCAAAATAAAGAGGTAGAAAATGACAGGTCAACAATAACCAGTAAAGATCGAGGTCTACAGGACAAGTTGTGAATCAAATGTGGAGAAATTTGAACACTTCACTTCTATCTGAAGTTTGTATTGATGATGTTGTTCAGAAAGACAATGAAACATCCATGACTAAATCATTCAGCTCAGAGAACAAAACTACTTAAATTGCTGCTTTTTAATGAGAAAAATACTGTTTATACCTATGCTACCAAAAGTTTGAATTATGAATACTGAATTTTAATTCTTCAATCCTTTGTGATATCAATTTCTGAAATTCTTAGACGTTTTACTTTTAAAAATGTATTTTCTGCTATTCTCATACATAAATCCAATGAATCATAACTTTATTAAAAAGTTTTATGTATCAAATAGAAGTTAAGTAAAAGTCAAAGGCTAGTGAAAAGTAGTAAACTGGGAACTAACATATAGAAGAAATGTGTGGAAGATAACTATCCATTTGAAAAATATAAACAATAATCACGTTAATGACTATTCATGAGATTAGGATGTGGGTCGAGATCATGGTAAAATATGTGATTTTAAAAGTTACAACTGATGATATAAGTCAGGTTTGAATCTATGAAGTGTTTATTTTGCACAAGTATCTGATTCAAAGTTCCTTAAGGTCAGTGCATTTGACTTTGTGGATAATTTTGAGTAGTGAATTGCTGAGATAGTTGACAAAACTTGGATTCTTCATGCTCGAAGCTGTTGACTGATTTATATTTAACTTTAGAGATCCGTAATGGGTATTAGTCTGAAGTGCGTTTGAAAAGAGAAATTATTTTGTTACCATTACAGTGTATGACCCACAATAGCAAGTAAATCTACAAATAAATATTGTGGTGACCGGAAACGGCAGATTATTGTCTACATATTGTCGGATCACGAAAATCCACAGCTCAACTTAACGGAAGATGTCTTTTTAGAGACCTCCATAATCGTATTTTTAAGATTTCTGGTAGAATAGTTGTAATGGACAATACATTTAGTATTATAGGGGTTTTCACGTTTATGAATTTAGAAGGAAAGTATTTTTCCAAAAGTATTTGTCTGACTTTATTCCATTTGATGTGATTTGTGTCTTCTGTTGATATTCTTCTATCCCTCTGACAGAAACCATATATTAGGTTTCTTTTTCTCCTTAATGGAATTTAACTTTTGAAGTTTCTAGTTGGCTTTCCAAGTATCCCACTTGTGGTCCGAGTGGTCTGATCTATTCAGTAAAATATCGCGGAAACAAAATTCTTAGTTCAAATTCAATTCTAATGTAAAGGTAATCGACTGAAATCACTTACAGTACTGCTGTAGTACTGTAGTGTTTGGTACTTGCGCTGAAAGATATAAGCAATATGTAGCAGAGATCAGAAATGAAATGTCTGCCAGCAGAAAATTGAAATGAAAAGAACAGAAAGGAAATCGGAGAGCGATCGAAATAACAAATGAACTAGAGGAATAATGGAGTATGTAAAGGATAACACAAAGATGTACAAATAATGTATTTAATGTTTGTTTTCCATATTTTATTCAGAAACTGTGTGATTTTGCGTCAAACAATAATGTGGTTTACCGTACCTGAGTTCTCGTTTAAGACACTGAAATTGCTATTTTTGTCACAGATAATGAGAATGTAATAAACATATTTTTCTAAAATTAGACGTTCTCGGTTATTGGTCGAAGAAATATTTATATGCTTTAATTTAGATTTTATCATAATGTTTCCCGTTATTTACTTCATCCATTTTTTCTTAATCATATAATTACAGTCCAAGAAGTTTTAGCGCCGGTGCCATTTCCAATCGTCTAACTAATACTGCCAAAAATTCTACAAGTTTATTGTATTATGCAGAACAAAATATAAATTCAAATCAATTAAAAGTTATGAATAATATGAAATCAGAAATAGAGCAGTCCTATCAACAACAATATACTATAGAAAAACAATATCAGTCTATTCGTTTAGGCAGTTTATATTTATTTAATAGTCTACCTCAACCTGCACCAAGCTTTTTAACGCAATCATGTATTAAAAAAATCGAAACTAAAGAGATCGATGAAAAATTAGAGAATAAGGACATTGTAATCTGCTCAAAAAGTCCTTATTTACAACGTATTAGTATAGATCATCATTCGTTAAAAGAATTAACTGATGCAGATTTGAAATTTAAAGTGATTATGGTAAGTCATACAATGGTTTAAACTTCTATAACCTATACTAACTAACTTCTGTTATATATATATGTATTCAGAAATAAATCGTTTGACGGATACGATTAGCCATGATAAGTTAACATTTGAATATATACCACATACAAATGTCAGTTTAATTTCAATGTCTTATTTAGCAGTCAAACTGGTATCAGCAGCCTCTTAGCTGTCATCATGATTTCCTACCACTTAAACTGGTGACAACTTACTGGTTTAACTTTGCATTTTAATCATCAAATTACATAGCGCTTCATAATCCTCGATAACTGTCTTTCATAGTGACAGTCTCGCCTAATGAGTGGTTATTCTTTTAATCTATTTTGTTCATGACGCATGAATCTTTCAAATTGTCACCACAGTACAGTCAATAGATCGATGACAGTAGTAGGTCATTTTTTGATACATAAACGTTCTGTTAGTTTTTATGCCTTCTTCTTGATATTATCTATGAAATAATTTCTCCATCCTAATATTTATCCTGTAGGATTTTTCATTGACTATCTTTTTGAGTGAAATGGTCAGAGATAATACTTGCATACTCTCTACTTTTATTCTGTGCCGGACAGGCATTATCATTAAGATGTTTCTGCAATCTCAAAAGACTTTGTGGTCCCTTGTAAATTAAAATCTCTATCGATCAGTGAAATGTCCAAAGACGTTACCAATAATCGGTTCGACCTGTGATTCATCACCTGTAGCGTTGAACAGATAATGACAATCAACTATTCATAGACTGTGTGAGCGTTTAGCAATCAATTTAAGAAATACTATGAAATGTGGGAGTAGATTTTAATAGATTGTATATAAACTAGATGAATTAGTTCTTGTAAAGCAGTTTTCTTAGATGTAGTCAATGAATCATCACTTCGTTTCAGTAACCTTCTTCTCTAAGAAATTTATCATATAATACGTTATTTTTATATACTTTCCGCTGTATATGTTTGTTTAACTGAAAAATAAATCTTAATTTATTTTCATAATATTCTTAAGAACGTACAAACTTGATAACTAAATTACCACAAAGCTTATTTAACTCACATCGACAACGCTCCCAACTACAAAAACGTAATATATCAAATCACAACACATTAAAACTAGTAAAATTTGCTACTGATATGATGGAAAGAAAAGTTAATTTTCGATTGAATTACTCATTATGAGTTTTATTCAACATTACATCCGTTTTGATTCAACGTGATGATTATTCAGTGTAGTATTTGATTTGTTTTCCCAGTATGATATTTTCTGTATAATATATGATATTCTTGTATTCAGTTGACATGAACTATGCTCAGTAAGTGATTTGTTATAACTGAGTATGTGATTTAATCCTAATTATTAATCAAAATGGGTTTACAGTCAATATATAAACCAGTGTATTTTAGGCTAGGATCGATCATCACTGTTATCGTCGTCGTCATAGTGTTTTGGGGCTAATAAATCTTCACTTATACCAGTCTTTGTGTTCATACTTTCGCCCCCAAATGCCCTGGTACGGCCGAGAGTGGGGAGAGTCCGCTCTCCCTCTGGAAATGCTCTCACATGGCCACGCGTACATAGCCCCTGCTAGGGAAGTCCTACTCACTGCCTTCACGTGGCGGGGGTGTTGTTTACGAAAATGAGAGGACGAAAAGCGAATGTCCGGCGCTTTAACCGGATCCCAAACCAATGGTGCACATGGGCTCCAGTATCCTGAAGGACCAAATGGCGTATGAACCAATCGTTGGTCACCGGCTACCATGGGACTGCATCTCCTCACGATGCTCTACTGCCTTGTGGATCAGACGTTCAGGTCAAAGGCTCGGGGTGTGGCCCCCTAAGAAAACCACCTGCTTCGGTTTGGGCACCCGAGCAGTATCACAGCCCTCACACAAATCAATTGAGATTCGTGTGGCGCATATGTACTTGGTGCCTCCTTGTACCAATACCTATGTGTTAAAATAATAATAATAATAATAATAAGTCGTGGGAATTGCAGAGGTCCCTTGTACCGAGTATAAGTGATAAGCGTTTTTTCCGGTACAGCGACGACCAGATATAACAGTTACTTATATAATTAGGACATTAATATGTGAAGTCAACTGATGCAATTATTACCTAATTGATTGTATTTTATGAACAGTGAGAGATATTCATAGTTAACAAGTAGCTTACAGTTAGTAGTGAACAAATAGTACCTACCGGGCTATTACTCACTCCATCCAATGCAAGTATTTCTATTCAAATAATGATAATAATGTAACTTTATAATCACATAAAGTTCATATATTTAACTTTAAACTACACCAAAATGTGTTGACTAGTAATGCTTTCTCGGTTGTCTAGTCTCTGATTAGGCACGATGTGTTTCGAGTTCTTTTACCAATAACTCATTGTTTCACAAAAATTATCATTATATTACTACGATGTACTCTCGAATAATGATTAGTTAGTAAAAAAATTTGATTATACCAAACTTAATGAGATCGTATCGTTAAATACTATTTTTTCTTAAACTTATTTTAGGCATCTACTACATATCATTTAAATAATGATATTCCTTTATCAAATGATTATACCATCTTGGAAACAAATGAGAATTTATTAGAAAAAACTGACTCATATAAATCTAATGAAAATGATGAAAATAATAATAAAATGGTTTGTACACCACCTCCTATCGATTTAGCCGGATATGAACAATCTGATGATTTATCAGCCAGTTTTGAAGCGTCACTTTTAGCTAGCCTTAAACAAGCAGTACTTGGTGAAGCTATAGAACCTGATTTACAGTTTTTATCATCATCAAAACAACAAATAACCAGTAATAATCATAATAACAAGTTGAGAAAAACAATCACAACACCAGTGACAAATGTGAAATATCCACATTCTGAAATATCAAAATCAATACCAGTATCACCACAAAGTATTAATTCTTTTTCACACATTTTTGTATAAGATATGCTTTTATTCATTATAGGGTTGTGAAGGCTGTTGAGTTTCATTAAGATAATGAACCGATCAGTGTTAGACCACCACAGAACACCTTGAAGCACTGGACACCAGTTTCATCCTAGTATGGGACTCTTCAACAATGAGCACCTACCATTCCGTATCCTGACTCAGACCCAGGACTTTCGGTCTCATACGAACGCTGAACCCCTAAACCACTGAGCCGGGATCTGACGGTGTTAATGCCTAAGTTCAATCAATTCACAACATTGCTCGACCGTTCAGTGCTTCCGGGTTTTCAATGGTCGGTTCATGATCTCAATATGTTATTGGTGTTATGTATACGTTATAAATGATTTCCTTTTTTTTCCTTTGGTCTGATAAATAATTTGATATAAATACTTAGATTGGTGTGTTATTAGAAATTAAAGTCCAAGGAACAATAAATAATAGATATCACATGAAGGACATTTGAAATGATTTTGAAGTTTATTATTTTCAAAGGAATTTGGCGTCAAGTACTGTGAAGTTAGATAGCGAAGCATTAAAAACTAGGGAGTCCTGTGCAATCATTTCTTCCCAATGCATGACTCCTCAGCAATGCACATTCACAAATTAATATGTAAGTTATTATTGCACTTCTGTCGAAATTGTTTCCCAATCAGTGGGAAGCAATGACTTGGTCATTGAGGCAGTCAACTTTTAACTGCTAGATTGTAGATTTAAACTCCGCTTCACTAAATTTGAACACAGTTTGGCATTATCAGGCGTTATTGAGTACTAGGTAAGGATAGCAAATCAATTGATGAAGTAGTGAAACTTAATCATATGAGATGGCTGGAACATGTGTTGCGCATGCCCGACCACTGACTGCCCCGACGTGCGATGTTTTATGGTGTAGGAGTAGGTTGGAAGAAAGCTAGGGGCGGCCAGACCAAAACATGGCATAAATCCATGAAGTCGCTGACAAGTGGACTGAGCCATGTTGGTAGGTGTAGACTGTCTGGTTGGGATCCGCGAGACGAAAGCAACCGATGGTTAGAGAGCTTGAATGACGTTGTTCAAAATCGTTTGCAATGGCGCAGGTGCATCTACTTATTGTGTTCTCCCAAATTCTAATCTTCTGAATTCTTCATGTCCCTTTTTCCTCTTTCCAAATTTATTTCACTGGATTATACTCCTTGAATAACATCTTCAAACCCTAATGCTTCTGATTCCTGCCTTATACTTTTACTACCTCTACCACTACGAGATTTGAATTGACAATTGTATCTCTGCGCTAATGTGGTATGACAACTCGAACTGATGTACGTACGTACGAAGTTCTACGTTGTTATTGATTAACTGACTGACTGATTATCAGTTTTTACACCTGAAGTTTCGATTAAATCTAAGTGAATAAATCTGTATTTGGTTACTAGGTACCATAAACCAATTGACTGAATGATCAGTTGTGAAATAGTCTAAAATGTTGACCAGGATTTCTGTATTTTCAGAAGTTTACTCAATTAATCTCAATAATATGATGAGAAGGCGGGGAAATGTAATGTAATTGGACAACAGATATCAAACAATCTAGTCACACACACAATTCAAAAACCAGTAAAGTTTGTTTCAACAAAAAGTCAGACAAATATGGAACGGTAATTGGAAATACGAAAGATACAAAATAGAATGACAGGTGTACTCAGTAATCAATCAGTTGTAAATATCCTAGTCTTAAGTAGGTCAGTTGCGGTCAGAATAGCCTAGTGGTAACGTTTCAGACTGTGAAGCTGGATGAAACGGGGTCGGATCAGCTAGGGACCACAAGTTTTCTCAAGACTACAGCTACGCCTTACTGACAAGTGCTGGATAGCACGAAATCCAGGTTCAGGGTTTCCCATCAACTGCCTTTAACCACCCAAAATCTCAACATAGTGTATGTGATGGCAAGTCATTTCGACCAGCGGCCACATCACAACTCGATCGATCGAATTTGAACAGCACTAAAGGACTAGACAAACATGACATTTGTCACTGCTCAAAAATCAATCATTTGTAAAATAGCAAGAGAAGGTCGTCATACCATCCGAAACATTAAAATAAATAAAAGATTTGAAATTAAGAACACTTGTCGGAGGCGTAAGTATTTTAATATTAAGTATTCCACAAACCTAGGAATGAGATGTTGACAACTCCGATACAATACTATAAAAGCTGCTGTAGGATCAATCAGATATCTGTTTTTCTATTGAGAAGCATGGTCTCCCACTTCCTTCTGTCTACTTTTCAGTACTTCTTACGGTTTAGCGGTCATTCGACAAAAGTTATATTTATGTGATATGTAGGTTTGTAAAAATAGCAGTTAAATCAAATAAATTATCAGTGACTTGGTCTTATTTACTTTTTAGGTCCATCATTAAACAATCTTAAAAAGAACATGTTAAATACAATTGAAAATGAAAAATGTGATATTGTGATTGCACTTCAAAAACAAATATTAAATGTCAGCTTCAGTGACAATGATGATTACAACGCGGGCGATGATACCACTACAACCGATGGTTTAGGATCATTAATTTATTTACGTTATCACTTGGCACGTCATCATCAGCATTACGAACATGAGGATCAACATCTAGTTCATGCAAGACGTGATGGTCACTTACTACTGGGTATGAATCACCAGTTATTGACAAAATCAAAAAAAAGCACTTGTCAACAAAATGGTTACACGTGTAGAAATGAAAATGATCCTGCCATACTTACTCCTTCTCGTGCATCATCGTTGGTTCATCAACGTACACACAGTACAGATGATGTATCACAATTAATTACAGGTTTTGAATTGTCTAGTCATTGGGGTACTGAAACAGCAAAGTGAGTTATTTTATATAGCTATCTTACTAAGAGTCTGTTAATTATTGAATGCTACATTATGAAAACTATAGATGGATAAAGTCAGTAGCGACAGCTGATATCAATTAATTTTATTGGCTGTGTAGATCACACTAACCTAGTATCAAGACTGAGTGTATTATGTAGTAGTTAATACTGCTTGATGAACTGAATCAAGGTATGCGAAATAACATTCAAATCAGTTATAACTTAGTTTAAGACTTGAGTAAGTCAGCCAGTCATAACCAATGTAGTACTTGGTTTAAATGTGTTTCAGTTCAAGTTGCATACCACATTACTACGAAAAGATGAAAGCAAATAAAATCAAAGGCAGATAAGTTGAAATAGTTGTAGTAGAGATGATAATGAGGAGACAATACCGTTAAAGTATGTTTTGAGAAGGTGAAATTAAAAGGTATATATGACAAGGTTCTGGAACAAAAAATCTAACAGAAGATAAAGAATGAGTTTATCTGCGTTACAGCTCAGATCAATTCTGAGCGGCATCGCTTAGTTCCAAACTACTGATCGTAACTATCACGCGTACCACAACTAGGCACTTTGCAATTACTGGCACGTCTTAATTCATCAGTTAACGAATGCATGGACTGATACTAAGTCTTGTTTAAACCGTTAAGCTTTCCATAAACGCTCTGCATCAAAACTATAACTAATATATGTTTTAAACAATTATAAAAATGAATCGAAAGGAACCAATCGTTATTGACTTAGTTAGTTAGTCTAATTCTTAAATAATAAACACTTAAAAATATCTGTGAAAAGATTGTAAGTATATCCAGGTTCATAACAGGAGTTTTTATAAGAGTGTATTATAAGTTACTTTGAACGAGAAATAACTGAAATGTTTGGCATCAACAGTCTCAATGAAAAGTATACTTTACTAATTTGATATTGATATAACTGACTAAAGAAAGACTATATAACCGTAGCAAAGAGTCATACTACATTATACAATGACCGGAGATCGAAAAATAGACCATTGAATCTTGGATAAGTTCTCTAAATGTGTCATGCTCACTAAAAGACCTTAAAGCCCTGCGTCCAAAACTTGGCGAGGTCATGGGTTCACACTACTGAGGAAACCTGAAATAGGACGAAATAATTATCTATCAGTTCTTGAATTGTATGATACAGAAAATCCATTCGTTAAATATACATGAATAAATAATAACTTATTAATATTCAGTGAAATTCTCACTTTCTGGTGATTTTTCAAATTTTCACTGAACACCTCTCATGATATATGTTTTTCTAGCTCATCCAATGAAAGTATATCATATTCAGTATGTGAAAGTATTACATCACCCTTGCCTCAATCATATCAACTTGTACAACATACAACTTCTGTAAATCAAATGGAATTACAAAATACTGTATCAGTTAATAAACAAGTGGTCATTAATAATAATAATAATAATAATAATAATAATAATAATAATAATAATAATAATAATAATAGTTCTGACAGACCATTCGATATAAATTCAAATCATGGACTTATCGAATTAATTTATGATCCAATATTGAAATGTTACTATGATCCTAAATCTGGACGTTTTTATGAATTAATCTGATAAGCTCTAGAATAGAGATAATATGAAGAGGGAAATAGAGAATGCTACTTCATATTAGATGATATTTATCATAATAATTACACTACTGATGTAATATTTTTGTTTTATTCATCATGTAGCTTTATGGATATTTTTTTAGTTGCACATTGTTACTTCTCTGTTACACGAGTATTTTTTTTCAATAAATGGGAAATACTACTTCTAATACAATCACTACTGTTATCATTATCAGTAATATTTTCTTTATAGTTTCCAGAACATTCCTTTTATACTTATTCCTTCTAATCATGAACCCTTTTAACTGTGATTATAAATCAAAAGATGTTGAGGATTTAGTCTTTAGTAAAAATTTAATGTTTGTAAATATGTGCTATTTCATTATTTATTGTAAATATATTGAAATACTGATGTTCTTAAATATCAGCATTGTATTTATAAAATCTGTAAAGAAGAAATATAATTTACGATTTGTAACTGATTAAAAGGTTGTTTTTCTATGTGACAGATGAAACGATTATTGTAAACTTATAATTATTGGAAAGTTATTTCATCTTATTCAATTTCCATGTTGTATACAGATGCAGGAGCGAGTGGAGAAAGCTCGGGGTACTATTATAGTTAAAGTAGTCCGAGGAATACTGCTTATTTCGGTGAATTACTCAAATGTTACTACTGGCTCGTTTTTTTCTGTGTTGTATGAACTTCATTCTGGACCTTGTGTGTTTACTTAATATCTAGTAATTTAAATGTAGTCATAGTATCGTGTACATTGATAATAATAATTCCAATTTCCTTCAATATTTTCTTAAAGTTAGTCAGCTGATTAATTGTTCTGTCTACTAGAAACTATTGGATTTGGTGTTCGGTTTCACGAGGTAGTTACTAGTCTGGTCACTTCTATACATTATTCCGGATTGATTGGGCCATCAACAACAACAGTGAGGAAACTATTTTCGCGTGAACGGTCGAGAAAACTATACATGTATTAGAATAGGAAAAAATGTATTTAATGTGATATAAAGCCTTATTAAATATTATCGAGGATGAAGATGTTTAAAATGTGTATTAGGGTGTTCTAAATGTCTCAAGGATATTTAGTTGTTGACTCAGATATCACAAACGTATTTTAAATTTCACGAATAACATACTTTATTTAATCAGATACTACTGTTGCGTAATATCTTACAGCTTCAATTGATCTTGTCATAGCCAGTATATAAAGTGAAGAACCTCCACACGATATTCTGAACATAAACCAATCCCTAAAAACTTGCAACATCTTTACAAATACAACCACTGAGCACCTAATGAATAGCAAATATGAACGCCACCTTCATTTTGCTTTGCAAAAGCTATTAAGATCAAACATTTTCAATTAGATAAATAGGAAACATTGTTAACCTTTTTTGCTTATCCAGCAATATTCAGTTTATTTTAATTGCATCATCTTACAGAGCAGTAACTTGTGTTTGTGATAATTTTGTGTAAATGTGGTTTTCCCTATCCTACTTTATATCTCTAGTTTACCATAGTATGAATAAACAAAAAGACTGCTGTGCCTACTACCAGATTTTTTGGCTTCTCACTCATTTTTTAATTGCTTCTTGCCTCTTTTTCGAAGGACGAGAAAAAATGTCATCGGTCGCTACCTAGTGATTAACCAGTTGCCTCTTTTTTTGAATATTCATCTCAACTTTAAAAACTAAATTATGTCAGAGGTTTATTTTCAATCATATAATTATTGTTTATTGTAGACATTACAAGGTTGTATAATTTGATCAATGATTAAAAAGTATGCGATCGTTAATCATTTAGATTAATTGTCACATTCTGACTTGATCGATTTAATGCAATCATGACTAAAGGACTAGAAATAAATGACACCGGCCACTACCCATTGATCAATCAGTTGTATCTGTTTATGTTGTTTGAAACATTTGGGCATTAGTTGTAATGTTAAACCACAATCATAGCAAGAGCGTTTAATAAATCATGATTGAAGATAGTATTGTAATGAGTTAATACATGATCTAAGTCTCATTTGCTGATCACAAATGAATAACTAAACACCACTGTATCTATTACACTTGTGCTATTTAAAATATGTCAACTCCGTTCACAATATACCTCAGAGATTGCAGTAGTTTAACTCTTTTGATGAAGAATGCAGATCCGTTAACATTTAAAACAATCGTTCTTTATGATAGCTTACAATTACAGAGCGTAGATTTGGAACTTTATGACAATAATCTCCAACTGTTTTATAAATTGGAACGTCATTGATAGAATGATGCTATGCCGACGACCGTAAGAGAAAGTATTAGCCAGTCGGAATACAGAGGCTACGAGACATTAATTCCTTACAGAAAATCCACAAAAAGGAAATACACAAACTTTCTACATGACTTATATCTAAAATCCACAATTCGTCAATTAGTATTAAAATCAACGTAGATGCGACAAATAAACTACTTCATATGATTTCAGTTCATTTTATTTTTAGAACCCATACTGTAAGGTTGTATATAATTCTTTGCAATACAATATACATCTAACTACATAGTACTGTACTACCATTTTTCTTTTAACCTTTTAAATTTACGTGAAGTATATGCTGTCCATCAAATCATGTTTGATATGTATTAATTAATTAGTAGAAAAAATAAAATAAAAAAAGAAACACCAGTATTATTGATTGATTTGATTACATTTTACTAATTAATAACTCACAGTAAATAGATACAAACGATTTACAAAAATTAGCGCAAATATTTTCAATGCAAAATTAAACAACATATTGTATTCTCAATAAGTTTGCAAATACATTTTCTCTAAAACAAGAAAAACGGAAAAATATCAACGAACTGAGAATTAAATTTATCAACAAATTAAAAAAATAATCCAATTTATAAACCACAGAAGTTATTACAAAATGTTTAGTGAATTCGCATAAAAATTGAGGTAAAAGAAGGAGAAAGAGATGAAAGAAATGGAAGCTAAGGCAATAAAACAGTGATAGAATTATTACGGATTAGTAAACAATTGTAGTTGTGTTTCCTATGCATTATTATTATTGTTATATTTAGTTAATATTATTACGTCCATTGGTTATTTATGTTCAATTGTAAATAGTTAATACCGAGAGAATCAATCCAATAAAATTGACTGGTTAATTATCATTAATCCATTTCTTATCTGATAGTGTGAAATTTAGGAAAAAACTATAATACTAAGGTGTATATATATATATATATATATATATATATATATATATATATATATACGGTGAATAAATCGGAACATAGTAATACTAGAGAATGAACATACATGTACACACAAACAGGCAGAATCATAGACTATGACTATTGGCAACAACAGTATAATTTTATCCGAAAAAAATGTAAACTGAATCAATCAAAAATCTGTTGTATAAATAAATATATTGTATGTAACAATTACTTTCAAGTAATTTGAACATTCATGTAAAGGTCTGTGGTATTTTTAAAAATATAATTTGTAAAAACCGGAAAATTATCAACAATACTAAATAACAATAGCTATATGAACTATAGAGGTATTAAGTGTGTTTATTTGTGTGTACATATGGCGTTCAGTATTTTACTATTCTAGTTATATAAAATCATTTCATACATCCATATATGTGTATCTCGATTATAATTATTTGTGGTTAAAAAAATGATACGAATAAAACATTACAGGTTCACTGTAAAGAGAGAGCAAAAGCATCCCTCTTCTAACGAACTGACATAATACAAAGTAATTTATCAGGGATTCAATTAGTCGAAACGAATCACTACTACTAATTATCAAAGATATACACATATGAATCAAGTAGATTTGAGGATAGATTCTAAAAAAAACAGAACAGAAAGATAATAGGTGAATAAGACACTAAGTTATATGAAAAATGTAAGTTGTCTTTTTAGTTAATAAAAGAACACCCAACTTTCACACAAGCATACTCAAGCATCATTGTTAAGTGAGTAAGCAAGTAATGCGTAAATCAACATAGTATTTCGGAAATAGTCTGTTAATCTTTTCAACAAAGTTATAAAAATGTAAAGATGACGGACGAGTTAATATAAACACAAACTTTTGTAATTGACAATAAATATGGAGGAAACACAGTAACAGTAGTCATTTGTTTATCTTTTATGTCATTGTTTTTTCCTCTTCTATTTTTTTACTGTACGTGTGATCTATATTGATCTTGATGAATATGTTTTAGTTGAGCGTGTAATTTATCCAATTCCCTTTGTTTAGCAGCAATACTGGATTTAGTTTCAATTACCTAGAAAAATTGACAGGAGAAAATTAAATTCCGAAAGAAAAAATTATTCATCACAGTTAACTGTTAATTTCGTTGTATTAGATACGTGGAAGTGAGAGCGATTTTATTATCATTTAGTTACCGTTGTTATTACTGTATTTATCCGTTTGTTTGAAATTACAGAGCAGTTCAATTTTATGACATTCATATATATATTGATCTTGTCGGCTTAGACAAAGTGAAATAAATGAAGTGGGAGTGAGTCTTGAGATAAAATGACTGAAATTCATATGCTCTTAGTAGTGAATAAGAAGCACTATTATCCTCCTCACCGAATTATAGGAACAAATCTATTATTGTAGAATTGTCAATAAGGGATTAACGGATATATAAGAACGATTGTTTTCATACAAACATTAACAGTTACATACACACTTGTATTAAAACTAATGTGTAAGCATCATTGATGATATTATCCAGATGTATAAGTTGTAGATAGGTAACAATAAATTCGGAACTTTACTGAAGAGTATGACAAATGATCCTCTCTACAACCAGTAATAATTGTGTCGTAACATTCTTTGAAGTTAGTGAGGAGTTGTGATTATAAGTCAACGAACAGATCCGCTACCTACCTCAGATCAATGTATAATATAAAATAAAATATTTAGGCTGTGTTGAGCGCATGTGAGCATACATGAAAAACTATGTTTAAAAGCAAGACCGATTTAAATCTACAAACGATACTATGATCGCTCTCAGATCAACTAGACACACAGAAAGTTTTATTTAATCCAATGACAGGATAAACATATTATTTAAAGCTTGTGGTATATCTTTCGTTTTTCTTGCAAATATAAAGACGTCCTTTTTTGATAAAAATAAAAGGAGACTGGTAACATAAACATGCATTGGTTATAATAAAATTCAAAATCGGTAAATGTTAACCTATCAACTCAGTATTCATAATATATTTTCGTAAAATATAATAATGATACAGTGAGTTGTAATATAAGATACATTTTAAAGTGTACAAAATCAGAATAATCTCATAATAATATAACCAGATGTATTTGTAGTTCGTTCTAAAAGCCGTGATCAATATTACAACAACAAAACCAACACATACTTGTCTCATAGATGAAACAACTCGACCATTTAAATTGTCTAATGATGTCTCAGATTGTTCTTTGTCTACGTTCACTGGTGTTGTTGTAGTCATTGCCGGTTTGCTTTTGGATACGATCATTTGTACAATTCGTACCAAACGATCGGCTGCATGTTTAACAGATCCACCAGCATTACGTAAGCCTAAACAACTTTGTGAATTCGGATCAGCTTTAGCTATACAAGCAATGACCAATTGAGCAGTATAACCAGCTGTTGTTTGTGCGGCCGATATTAAACTTTCTGGCTTTAAAGTTATATCACCTGCATCGATTAATTGTGAAGAACCACTAACGTGCATTGTGACAAATGCTTGAGCTGATTCAACTAAGTGATTCGC